AAAAACTGAAATCATATTAATTTAGTAGGCATATATATATATATATATATAAAGCAATTTTATATTTGCCATTACAGTTACTTGCATTACTTATATTCGGATTAAACTAGTTTAAAAACGGCCTGCACGTCTTGTACTAGAACAGAATACAGCATTAAAGCTAAATGAGATTCAATTAAATTAAATTAAACTATCACTTCTTCACCGCCTTATGCGATAAATTCAATCTTTTTCAAAGTACACTGATAATTGCGAAGCCTTAATCCGAATATAAGTAATATAGTGGATTGAGATAGCAAATCTATGTTCGTTCAATGGTCATTCCCACTACAAAAACGAGATATGAGAGAGACCTAGCTTGTTTGGAATTTACGTCTTCTCTGTGAAACTGCTGGCACCCCTGGCATTTTGGCTTAGTGCTAACGTTGAAATTATGCACTCTTCTACTAGGTTTCGATTCCATTTGGGGTTGCTGAATGATTTTCGGGCGTGGTCGAATTTCCAGTCCATCCTGGATGATTATACCTTTTGGGATTAAGGCTAGGTGAAATTCAATGACATCGTGAGACCTACTCATATAATCTTGGAAATATACAACTATCTCTCCTTCACATTATTCAAGCTCTATTGATAATTTAGAAACCTACTATATCTGAAAACCCTTAGAAATATAACGTCAGTTGAAATTGCTTCCTACATAGTTAAGTGTCTAAGGCCATTCAAACGCTATTACTGTGGCCTTAGTTTAGTACAAAACGCCTTATATCCTGCAAGACATTATTGACATGTGCAAAAACGGAGTTAAATGATTAAATTAGGAACAATAAATAGCGAAAAATATATTTATTTTAATAGAATCACGATAGCTCAGAACGATTTGCTTGGCTAAAGACTTATTTATCAAAAAATTACAACATAACTTCATGATTATTTTATATTAAAATTTTACCGGTATTTAAGACACTATAAACGTTACCTTCGCTTTTGTCTTATGTCCTGTGCAGAAAAACCATATTCTTTTAACGCGTCGTCTATTTCCACTTAATACCTTCTTAAACCTGCCTCTCCAAACATCGATGTCCTATAAAAGACGACTCGATACCGCATTCTCGTTCCCCAGTTGGTCTTATAACCCAACTTTTATGGCGCTCCCGTGCATTGGATGACAGGGGTCCCTGGATCCTTACTTTCGCCATGTGGTGGATGTTACAACACTACTTCGGCATTGGATCTCGTGTCCACCATGTACGTCTACGCTGGGGCCATCTTCGGTTGGTGTCCGGCCTGGTTGATCCAATGACTGGGCAGCCCTGTGAGGCTGTAGAATACCAGGGTCCAACTGAATTCGCTACGGTTAGACCGGCTGCTCTTCTCGAGGCTACTGCAGTTCCTGACGGAATGCATATAAGTACACCTCGTCGACGAGTTTATCCCTCTTCAGGTTGGGCTGAACCGGAGATAGCAGTTGCTGAGGCTTTGTTAGGAGGTGTGACTTCAGATTTTGTAAATCCGCCCCCGCCCGCTGGTTCTCAGGTACTTTTATCTCTTTTGACTCATCCAGAATGGATATAAAATAATTATTTTGATGCCTTACAGTCTGTATAGTGTGGTGCTATTTGTGAAATAACTGGCATATATTAACTGATCTTTATGCTATGGATGCACACAAACAGAAGTTCCTTGCTAACC